TTTGCCCCCGCTTGGCTTCACTATTACATGTTGGAGAACTCCGGCCTTGCTACCCTGGGTTGCATGGTAGCAGCTGGCCGACTCGCAACATCGGCATAGCTAACCTTGGTGGATTGTTGGGAGGCCATTTTAGCTGAAAATGAAGGTTTGATTAGTGCAAGTATAAAATATAAAATACAATACAATAAGACAGATAAGAGATAGCTATCAAGAATGCCTTGCAGACTGTGCAAAAATTGATAGTATGAAAATGAAAAGAGAACAACGAAACAAAACGAAACCTAGTGAAAGCTTTGTAGGACAGCTTGAATTTCTTCCGCCAAAGAAATTGTCGGCCGCCCAAAGAAAAGATAAAAGAAAAGAATAAAAAGGAACGAACTCACAAATTAGTGGCAGGTGTCAAAAGTTAATTGAGTTATACTTAATTAATACTTGACAGTAATCCGCTAATCCAATTTCACCAATCCAGACTAGAGAGAGAGCTAATTAGTTGTTCACAGTACGAGTGTCGAACTAATTATGGTGAGAAAAATTACGTATTCATAGCTAAATATTGTCCAATCAAAATTGACGCAAATTTCAGCCAACCAAAACAATTCACTCGTTATGACGCTTTGTTTGCGAACGAAAGCAGTATGCCTTTACATATTTTGATGAATACACGGTACAGCATTTAGTAAGATTTTCGTTAAAGAATTGAAGCCGGGAGAAAATCAAACCTTTCTTTAGAATATTTACGTTGAACAAATGTGTTCTTATCTCTTTAAACTGGCGGTGGCAACGCGGTGTTGTGTTTTGTGTCATTTCAACGCCCCCAAAGTGTAGTGGGCTTTAATACGGGTAAATAGGACCATATAAGATCGTGTGAAAACCCGTATTCGTGATACGATGGCCCACTGACAGTTGTCAGATAATGACGTTATAAATGACCGTATTAACTGGTAGAATATATAGAATAATTATGTTATTTATATGTTGTAGAGAAATGCTTTAATGGAAAGAGCGGCTACAGATGGTGTTGATGGTAACAATAGATTGAAAGTTGCTCCAATTAAAAAACCAGGTAGATTAGCCCCCTGTATTCCTGTTTGAAGCAAAGCTAATATCACCTGTGTGTGATCTCTGATTGTTGTGATTCTTGGGTTTATGTGGTAGCTCAGTGAGTAAAGATCATGCTCACTAACCAGGGTTCAGGGTGCATTCTAGTACCCAGATAGATACAAGTCATTTTTATTTGCCCACATCTCTTATAAATTGATGTAGGCCTATTTCTGCATACTTATTAAAACATGAACCGCACAGAAAACGACTAGGAATCGAGCAGAGAAACGACTAGGGAGCGATCTCAAACTACATTAAGATAAATTCTAAGCAAGTTTATTACGCCAAAGAAGTAATTAATTTCCAAAAAATATGTATTTGGGAGAAGTGCACAGAATGACTCTCAAAATAATAAAAAATTAAAGTGACCCTTTCTTGATATTTTTAAATATTCAATGTCAATGATTATTTTGCTGTTTATTTTTTTAACATAAACTATTATTGAAACAATGTAGAGTAATAGAGTTTCCGTTCATAAGCTTTGCTACCTTTATCATGTCTCTAAGACGAAATTTAGTACAATATTTGATGACTTCACGCAACTTAATGTATCACAGTGTATCTTGAAATTTCACGACACTATTTAAAC